ATCTATTCATAATAAAAAATATAAACATATATGTAAAAAACCCAAACCAAATTCATTGCCACTGAGTTGATTCTGACTTATAGCAACCCTATAACACAGAGTAGAACTGCCCCGTAGGGTTTCCAAGGCTGTAATCTTTACAGAAGCTGACTGTCACTTCTTTCTCTCAAGGAGCAGCTGGGGGTTCAAACCATCAACCTTTTGGTTAGCAGCCATGCGCTTTAACCACTGTGCCACCAGGGCTCTTTGAAGTATATATACCTATACATATGTACACACACACACATATATTGAATATACATAATGCTTAGAAATATTCTGAATTATTTTAGTAAAATGTAAACTCCACAAGGCCTAGATTTCTTTACTGTGTAGTTCACTGATGATGATGAACGGAGCCTGGTCTGGGTATAGCTCAATATACATTTTTAAAATAAATTAAATCATTATTTATGTGAAATAAATATATTACACTTTCTTCATTATTTTATAAATGGCAACTCAAATGCCATCTAATACATAACCAGCATGCTTCACTAAAAGGTATATGTAGTGGACTGTGTTTTCTGTAATACTCTGTCTAATTTGGTTGAGGATATGCATTGTGTCCTGTTACCCCTGTCCAGGCCCAGCTGCAGGGGTAGGGACATTGTATCATTGCTTGAAATCAGGTTACTCCTAGGCTGCTCAGTATATAGTAATACGTGTTAAAGGAACAATACAGTTCTGTGGAAATCCAATTTTTGTTAGCAAGCTTTGACACAAAACACCTTTACTATTAATGTGCAGGGTGAATCTCCTGGGGTCCCTGGGAATATCCTAGTGTGCAATGTGACTTTTCTAGAGGGGACCCTTTTTGGGGAAATAGAAGTCTAGACTGTGATCTGGAGGTTTTTGTCTCTCCCAAATTACAGTGACTTAGATTAAATATAACAAAAATTTATTTGGTGGTAAGGAAATTGCTGATGTAGTGCCATAGATAAAACCTTGACTTTTTTTTACATTTCCTTTTTTAAGATTGATGCACAGATTTTCTATTTGTGAATGGTTAGGGAATTCCTATCAGGTTTAATTCAAAATAGTATTTACTGAACCTCTGTGTAAGTTTTTTCTTAGAATTAGACTGAAGCTTTTCTCAGGTTTGACTCATATATTCACTAATTAAGAAAAATGAAACCTAATTTTTCTGGCTTTATTTCCAGGGCACAAATCATTACATCCAGATTAGTAATTCAGTAAATATTTCGATATTAAAAAAAAAAAAAAAACTCTTTATCTCATTCAGAAACTGAAATGATTCCTTGATGTGGCATTTTTATCCATTATATATGATCTATGTTAAAATCTCAAGAGAATTGGCTAGTGAAGTGAGTTGAGTGGTTCACTGTTTCCAACCTGAATGCATTATGTGGATTTGATTTTAACATGAATTTTTCTTACTTCAAAGCAGGAGCAAGAGACAAGTTATACCATTCTGAGGGCAAGAGGTACAAACGTTACCATCAGTAGCCTCAAGCCTGACACTACATATGTATTCCAAATCCGAGCCCGAACAGCAGCTGGATATGGGACCAACAGCCGCAAGTTTGAGTTTGAAACGAACCCAGACTGTATGTATTAGCTTAATGTGGTGTATAGGGGCAGGGCTTTTTTTGCAAAAACGGGTCTGATCATTTATTCTCATTCTCTCTGAGGCTTAACCAAATGTGACACCTTGAAAGTACATTGCTTCAGCCATTTAGTAATTTGCATAGCGTTGTGTCTGTGTATTTGTGTTTGTGTGGGTGTGCATCTGTGTTTTCTCTTTGGCAAATCAAACATATTCTAATGTCTGGACTGCATCTGGTTTTCTAATAGCCACAAATTACTTTTGCGGGACATTGTTTAATATGGTAGCACACTGCCAGTGCCTGTTAATCCAGATATTCCAGGTTCATTGCATGATTTTCAGTGAACTACAAAAAAGAAACCTGCCGATCCACGAAAATCTTAATTTTGTTTTAATCCTTAACACATTGAATCTTATTATAACACTTGGAGAATAAGGGTTTTCTATAATCGGTTTTATCACTTTATTTACGTTCACAAGTAATTTTGGATAGTCCATCCATTTGACCCCAAATTTGGCTTTTCTAAAATTGGCAAACATTTTGTGCATAGAAGTTTTTCTACACATTAGAAGAGTCCTCTGCTAAAATGTAGTTTTCAAAAAGTTAAAATCATGATATGGTACTAATATAAAAAGAATGCAGATTAGAGATTATACTTAATTTATTAAGTAGTGAGGAGACGAGTAAAACTGATTCAAATGAAACTTGAAGAACACGCATACACATGTGCACACATAAGTGAACATATTTTCACGCCTACTAGAAGCATTCAGGATTGACAAAAAGTTATAAAACTGTGTCAATTAATAAATAGAATGAACTATTTTATGACACTTTTTGTTTTTTTGGTCAGACAATTAGGATTGTTGTTTGTAATAACAAGCTGTGACTTCTACAAAGTATTGAGATTTTAAATTTTAAATTCAAAGTGTTCTTAAAAATGCAGTGGTTTAGTTTATCAGCTCCATAGTTGAACATTTCTACTCAGAGGAGAGCTGACATACTCATATACACAAAGCTATCCTTAAAGACCTCTCCTCATCCTTCTCCTCATCCTTCTGTGATGCCATGAGAATAGAGAAACCACCGTCAGAAAACATTAGAAACAAAACTTAGTAAGATACCATAGATGTCCATGGCAACAAGATTTAAAATAAAATTTCAGATGACACAAAATAATAGATTTTGAAAATTAACATTAGTAGTTCTAAGTCTTGGTTCAATTTGTAGGTGGTGTAAAGAAATTTTTTTTTTCTATTTTAATGATTATCGATTGACTTTTTTTTCAAACTTTTAAATAGCTATTTGAATTAACAGCAACAACAATAAAAACTAAATTTGATTTACTAGGAAATACCCCAAATCACAGAAATAGGAGAAGCAAGTGTTTATTCTATTTTGTGGTAGAAATAAGGCATATTGAGGGATGGGAGGCTCAGATCACCATTAGACAAACTGTATTATGTTGATGCATGTTTTGAAACCTTCATGTTAGCTTGTATGTTCCTAATCAGCACATAGCTCTAATTTATCTGATAAGTAAATTTGCAAAAACAACAACAAAGTCCAAAATTCAAATGTAATTCCAGATTTGCCACAGATATTGCTGTGGTAGTGTTTACACATGAACTTCTAATGAGGCTTCAGTGTCTAAGGCTTAAGAAATATTCCATTTAAAAACTGCAGGGTCTTAAGATTTTTGCCAAGGTAAGTTTTATACTTGTCATATATTGAGGGAGAGAGGAGGAAAACAGACTAGAAAGAAAAATATGACCTTTTCTCCTTCCCTATTCCATTTATAAAAATCTCTAAGTTGAGCCCTTTGATTTTTTTAAATCAATTTATCCTTAATGCTTCACCTAAGAATTCATCTAGACTTTAAATGTAAATGAGAGGAGAAAAAAAAAGAGGTCTGTTTGTCTTAGAGGACAAAAGACAAAAATCAACTCTCACCCTATTTTGTAAATCAAAATGACATAGTCATAAATGCTATGGGTTTTTAAGAGTCTGAATTGTTATATGTTGATACTTAAAAGATATGAAAAAGACTCATGTTTGTATTCCTTAAACATTTTTCTCATTGCTTCTAGTTTTTATTTTTAAAAATTACATTAAAAAGTTCTCTTTCATAACGCATGAAAATGTTTCTTAGTCGGAAGAGAAAACCAAACCAAACCAAACCAAACCCAGTGCCGTCCAGTCGATTCCGACTCATAGCGACCCTGTAGGGCAAAGTAGAACTGTCCCACAGGGTTTACAAGGAGCTGCTTGGTGGATTCGAACTGCCAGCCTTTTGGTTAGCAGCCAAGCTCTCACCCATGGCACAACCAGGGCTCCTTTCTTAGTAGGGCACAGTGTATTCTAAGGTTGACTTTAGAGGACATTTGCTGAATTTGGTTTATAATAAAGCTATTGAAGCAAAGTGGAGCACATATTTTGCTAAGTGCTTTGAAATATTTTTTTAATATGTCAATACTTTACATTCGTTATCATCCTCATTTTATATATGAGGAAACTGAGGCATAGAGAGGTTAAGTAAGTTTTCCAAAGTCACACAGTTAGTAAGTGATGGGTCTGATTCTAGAAACCATGCATTTATGGGACAGCATATAAAGCATTTTCATAAACATCTCATTTGATCTTGTTTTGTAAGCTATCCAGATATTACTATTGCTTTTATGCATGATTTAGTACTCACAGTTTATATATTTTTTTCTGAGGTCACAGAACGACTAAGTAAGTTTTGTGGACGAGTCTAGAATCTCTGGGCTTTGAAATCTTGATTCAGTGCTGCTGTTGTCCATTTAAAAGGAAGAAAAAAAATGATGCTAAAGTAAAAGTCACAGAAAACAAAAAGTACAGAAGAGAAGGACATTCTTAGAGTGAAGGCAGCTTCCACCAAAGCTAGAAGTAAAAACACCATGCCAAGTTTAGGAAAAGACAGTCTTAATTGTTTCTGGAAACTCTCAGTGGACAGAAACTGAATCCAGGATTTGTGCTCAAGAAAGCCAGGCATAATGTAGTAGCTAAGAGCAAGGACTTTGGAACCAGACTGACATTTATTAGCTGGACGACTTTGGACAAGTCATTTTAATTCTTCATGCCTCAGTTTCAGAAATGCCTCAGAAATTAGGGAAAATAAATGTGCATATATCAGTAGGGTTTTTATGTTGATTAAATTAGTTGATATTTGTAAAGTTCCTAAAACATTACCTAATATACTAGGTAGTCAACAAGTATGTGTGTCTAAATAAATAGTCCATAATTTCAACATCCAAACAATTTTAAGAACAAAAATCTGTGCGAGAAAGCTGAGTTTTAGAATTGAAGGATTCTATTGGATATTAGTATGGAAGACAAGCCCCAGAGACAATTAAATTAACACTCCCAGATGTCTCACACCTCCTTTAGGGTGTTTTTAATGAGTGGTGTGTAGTAACTTTAACCTCTTGGACGCTAATTAAATCAGCCCTTGAAAACCCTATGGAGCACAGTTCTACTCTGATACACAGAGGGTCGTCATAAGTCAGAATAGAGGTGATGACAACTGATTTTTAAGGGAGGCTGAAAAAGGTAGAATGGGATCATTATGTAGAGAATTTTGCATACCAAAATCAGGATTCAAATATAATTTTGTAGGACATAAAGTACTTTACAAGTTTGTCACCAAGAAAATAATATATCAAAAATATATAATATTTATTGACCACTTCCTATATGCTTGGCACTATTCTAAATGCTTTATTTGAATTAATTCATTTAATTCTCACACTAACCGTATCAGGTCACAGGGCTAATAAGTGGCGGAGTGAGGATACAAATATAACCACTCTGGTCATGAGAATGAGCTCCTACCACTCCCCTTTAAGGAGAGAAAGCCAGTAATACTCTTAATTAGGATGGATTACCATAGCAAACCACTGGAAACAGGGAGAGGGGTTTGGTTGCATTATTAGACACGAGCCAAATTATTAGACAACTATATAACACACATCGAATCAATATTATTCATTTACATGATTGCTAATTTCAGTAACAAAAACACTCTCTGTGTTCTAGAGAGTGTCCTGGAGTCATAGATATTTAGAACTAGATGGAACCATACAGACATTTTACTTTAAACCCTTCTTTGACAGAAGAAGAAAGAGAAACCTTCTTTCTCCTGTCATGTTTCCCCTCCCAATCTTACTAAACTTTATCATATAAATTGGTTAATAAAACTAGAGAATTCAGAACTTGCTACTATTTATAAATTATTACAGCGTATAAAATGAAAAGCACAAGTTGCAGTCTACCACTGTACATACTTACTGTATGTTTATGGGGCATTTTTGAAACACCAGGTTAAGCTATTTTCAAACTATTCACAGATCTCTAGCCAATGGATGGGGTTGTACCAGTGCAGGTTCTCTGGGAAGCAAATGCCAAGACAGAATTAAAGAGTAAGGGCTTTCTAGAAAGAAACACCTGTGAAGGATATAAGGAGGAAGGGACAGGAATTGTAAGGAGAGCCTCAGGACTAAGATGCAGCTCTGAAATGTATGAAGGGAGATAGAGAAAGAAGGGCTGGAGGAAGAGCCTCAGACGGCTGTGCAGTTCGGAGAGTCTCAGCCAAGCCAATGGGAGCTCAGAAGGAAATTGCCCATTAGAGGAATGGCCTGGCTCCAGTTCCCCTGCATTGCCTAGTCATTGAGGAGAGCGCAGCCTGTGCGTGAAAACTGTGGTGGATCCTGAAGGTGCAGCAGCTGGAGACTGTCTGTTCACTGCACTTTTGGCAGCAGGGAGATCTGAGCAGGCACCCCCACGGCTGCCACAGTAGTGTAAACAGTAGTTTGCTGGTAGTAAAGAATAAAGTGCTTGCAACAGTTTATGATTTTGCCATCCTACCACACTCTGAGCTCTTTTTCAAATGCTTAGAAAACTTGTCACAGCTTATCTGCCACATTTTCCTGGTATCATTTAACTACTCCTAAAATCTCATATTTTAGAGAAAACCTTCCCAACTTAGATTTGACTGGGTTGAAGGTGCTCTGTTGGATTCTAGGAAAAGGATAGTATTCAGCTAACTAAACTCTCCGCTCTTTTGATTAGTGATTTGTTCATTTGTTCAAAGAGCCTTTACCCCAAGAATAACATATGCAACGGTGTGGACATATGAAAGGGGCTGATCTAGGAGCTATATATGTTTTAGAAAGCCTAGAGATTAGGATGTTTATGGAGTTTGTCAGCAGATGAGGCTGAAGTTTTAGGCTACAGAATTTGCATTTTATCCTAAAAGTGATAGAGAGCCACACAAATATTTTAAGCATGGGAATGACATGATCAAATCCATAGTTTAGGAGCACTCAAAGCAAGGTAAAAGATAAACTAATATTTTAGAGGGCTTGGTAATTAATTGGAAATAGAACGGTCAGGAGAGGGAGAAGCCAAGGTGACTTCTTAATGTATGGTCTTGATCCTTGCTACTCAAATTGTGGTGGTGGTGGTTGTTCTTAGGTGCCCTTGAGTTAGTTCCGACCCCTAGCTACCCTATGTACAACAGAACAAAACACTGCCTGGTCCTGCGCCATCCTCACAATCATTGCAGAAAAATGTGGTTGGTGGCGTTGAAATCAGCAGATCAACATCACCTGGGAGAGTGTAAGCAATGCAAAATCTCATTCCCCACTCTAGACCAACTAAAGTAAAAAATGCATTTTTAACAAGATCCTCAAATGGTTTGTATGAATATTAAAGTTTGAGAAGCATTGTTCTAGGTCAAGCATCAGAAAACTTTATCTATAAAGAGCCTGTTAATAAATATTATAGGCTTTGTGAACCATGAAGTCTCTGTTGCTACTATTCAACTTGGCTACTGTAGGGTAAAACCAGCCATAAAACCAAACCAAACCAAACCCATTGCCATCGCGAGTCAATTCTGACTCATAACGACCCTAAAGGACAGAGTAGAACTGCCCCATAGGGTTTCCAAGGCCCGCCTGGTGGATTCAAACTGCCAGCCTTTTGGTTAGCAGCCATAGCTCTTATCCACTACACCACCAGGGTTTCCAAAGCCCGCCATAGACAATACATAAATGGATATATGTGTCTTTGTCTTAATAAAGGGGCTCTGGTTGCGCAGTGGTTAAGAGCTATGGCTGTTAACCAAAAGGTTGGCAGTTCAAATTTACCAGCCGCTCTTTGGAAATCCTATGGGACAGTTCTACTCTGTCCTATAGGTTCCCTATGAATTGGAATCGACTTGATGACAACGGGTTTAACAGTTTTAATGAAACTATATTTATTCTCACAAAAATTTGATTTTCATACAGTTGTCATGTGTCACAAAATGTTCTTTTAACTTTTTTTTCAACCATTTTAAAGCACAAAAACAATTCTTAGCTCATGAGCTATACAAAAACTGGGAGTGGGGCAGATTTGACTAGTGTACCAATATTGGCAACTCCTGGTCTAGGTGAATGAGTGAGTGATAGGTCCATTTAAGAGGTAGGAAACAGAGGGAGAAGAGAGGTTGTTGACTGTCTGTGTTGAGGTCCATAGGACAGGTATTATTATCTCTGTTTAAAAATATAGTTATTGGAGGCTAAACAAGCTTAGTCAGAAAGCTTGAAAAGTTTTATTCTGGAAAAGATTCACATGTTCTTTATATTCCTCTAAGAGCTTCTGGCTTTTCCATTGAATTTCTTTTCAGATAGGAAAGAAAAAACCAGTCCATCATATTTCACACAGTAGAAACTCAAGTAGTGTTTGACTGAGGTAATTGAAAGAGAATATTTAATATTATCAACTAAGTAGAAATATCAAGCAAAATTATGGGGAATGTCTTTTTTTTTTTTTTTTTCTTTTACATTATATGAAGAATTTCTTCAACACCTTATCAGGCATTAAGCCATATTTGAGGTAAAAGCAAAATAACTATGAATTAATTTATAAGCTCTTCCATGTAGATGTTAGTTATGATGTGTTAATGTGTTTTCTCATTTTGTCTCTTCAACCTCACAGCTTTCTCCATCTCCGGTGAAAATAGCCAAGTGGTGATGATTGTCATTTCAGCTGCAGTAACAATTATTCTCCTCACAGTCATCACATACGTTTTGATCGGGAGGTGAGTCACAGTCTGTTTTACTATTTATTTTCATTGTTGCTTTGCTTTCTCCCCTCAGTTACTGTTAGAGTTTGAAGAGTGTGGTCAATAACGTGTTTTAACAAATAAGAATGTCTTCACCTTTATTCCAGGTTCTTCATTTTCTTTTCCCTTTCTCTCTATGTTTTTCGCCATCCTTAGTTTTGATTTCATTTTCCTCCATTAAATCCTGCTACCACTCTTCAGCAAACACCACTTCTTTCCTTTTGATGCCACCCTTAGTTTTTATTTTCTTTTTCCAATTATCCTCTTGCTCTTTAAATGCATCCCAGATTTCCCAACACGTTCTCACCCAGAACACTGGTCACACTGCCCGGCAGTCACCACTAACAATGGGGACTTCACCCTTCATTCATTCTAACAGTAGTTGTTAAAGAAAATACCATAAACACATTCTAAGGCCATTATAAAAAGTGAACTAGAGGGGTCTGCACAGTGGGGAAGTAACCCTACATATCTCCTCATTAGGCAGCTTTCCAGAATCCCCAGAGGAGGAGGCTTTCTGTAGAGAATTTAGAAAATATGAAGCCATTAAACTTTCACTAAAGCGTTTAATTGTTTGAGGAAAATTCGTATTCTGGTGTGCTTTGCACAGTCTGAGCATAGATAATGGTTTTAAGTATATTTTCTTTATTTTTCTTCTTCCTTTCATTTGCCTCTAGGTTCTGTGGATATAACAAGTCAAAACATGGCACAGATGAGAAAAGACTTCACTTTGGAAATGAACATTGTGAGTTTCTAAGTTTTTTTTTTTTTTTTTTTTGGTTTTAACATTTTAGTTTTAGCATTTGTTGGTTTATAATGGAATAATTTCCCCCCGACAAAGAGAATTCAAAAGTAGTTTTATGGGAAAAGCGAGTAAATTAAATTTATTTTTAAACAGAGAAGGAAATTTATGGCTCTGCATTAAGTAATTTTTACATGGCTACATTTCAGCATACTTAAGTTAAATTAAAGGGTGACCTGTGGTTTATATTCAAATAATGCACATGATGGGTAGTACGGACTGTAGTCAGCTCTGCGTGGCTGAAATGCAAAGCGTATCTTCAGTTTCCTTATTACCAGTCCTTTGCTGAAATCTAAATAGAAAACTTTTCTCTTTCCTAACTCCCAAGTAAATATAAACAATCTCTGTTTATGTGAAATGCCTTACTCCATTTTGCCAGCCAACCAGGAGAGAACCTTTAGAATAAACTGTTTTATTTTGGAGTTACATGATATCCAACTGGCAGTAAAGCCAGCACTTCACCCGCCTCCCCCCCTATTTTAATACCATCCAGCTTAGCCTCTTTTAATATTTTCTAAAAGAAATAATCTTTCAGGAAACAAAGTACTCACATCTAACAAAAAGACTCCTTTGATTTTCTTTTGGTGAAACAAATAATCCCAGGTGATTTTCTTTTCAGAACTATGGCTCAATTTAACGTGACTATTACTGATCAGTGGTATTAAAGGGAATAGCACGTTCTCATGGAAATTAGTACAGAAACCACACTCATGCTCATGTGCTCTAAAATGATCTCAGTATCACCGAATTAGTCTTGTAAGCATCCCTCTCTTTGGCATTTATTATTGCCTTCTAAAGCTATTTTCAAATCAATATGACACTTGGTATCAGTCATTGGATTTGCAGCTAAAAATGATAGGTTTAGCTATAATTCAAGTGAACACTTGATTACCCATTGCTAACACTATAGCTTGAAAAGAGGAATGTCTTCCAAAAAATAAATTGATGTGAGGTGGAAATAGAGCAGGAGTTAGCTGACCACAATGTTTGCTTTGTCCACTAAGGTTTCCTTCCATCTCACTGCGGAGTCATTATGGAATAGCTCACAAACAAGCCTAACTTCCATCTTCAATTTCTGACACCTCATCATTCCTGATGAGTTAGGTTACCGACTCAAAAGGCATTAAAAAGTGCCTGAACAAATCACAGGCCATTTGTCTGCCTTTTTTTATAGGTCCTACAAAACACCTCATCTCAATTGCCATGCATCAATTAGAGCAGTTATATTTTTGTGGATTAAGTTGATTTTCATTTGAGTTGGACAATTGATGTAAACATTGTCTTTAGAGCAAGATCATGCTGATGTGGCCCTTTTTATGGGAATTATAAATCTTGTGAATGTGGAGCTCTGATAAATCTCTGTGTGCCGACTACAAGCAGATTCCTGTATCATCCCAGTCTATTTTAGCTATTAGTGTTTATGGTGGAGTTTGTTAAAATTTTAATTTTTTTCAACTGCAAAATATCTTTATGATAAACAGACAAAAAAGAATGGCATTTTATCCTAGCTGCAAGGGCATAAAGTAACTTATATGCGTGTCATAAACTTTCTGCATTTTAATACTACAGCTGGTTTATTTCAGACCATTTGTTTTAGCGTTACTTTAAAAAGCTCAGGCTATGAACTATTCCCTCCAGTCTTGTTACAAATCCCATAATATTGCTTCAAAAGGTAAGAAATGTGTTTTACCTCCTAAGATCTTGTTCCCTTGCCCTTTCTGGCTAGGCCTTTTTACTTTTTTTGCTATCCTTAGGGCAACTCATGCTGGTAAAATGGAATTGTAAATTATTGTGTTTGCACAGAATGAGCTGTAAAGTAGTGCAGCTTAACACATGCGCATGTGTTTATTATCTGGTTTTCAAGACAGAGCCCAGTTACTCTGTGTGTAGCCCTTAATTATTGGTGTGGAAGGATTATGTGCCTTGTACCCTGAATCACCTGATTCCTGGAATCTCTGGGGTCAGCAGTTAAAAATCAGCAGCCAAAGCCCCCACGGTGAA